TTTAGCAGTATTTAGTGGTATTTATGTTGCACAGTTTTAGTGTTTGTACTAAGTTATAACACTTCTAACTCTAACTTTTTAGGTAAGCTTGTAATACGATTTCTTAGTTTCCCGGGCTAGTTTCAATGAATACACTGACCTTGGTCGCTTTGGTGTTGGTAAAATGTCATATTTGCAGTGCTGCAAATAAATATGTAAACAGAATGTGAGGAATGTCACGAGAAGAATGCAAATCAAAGCAGTGCCAACAATCCATCCTGCTGTAAAAAGAATCGAAGTCATTTTTTTTGGCTCGACCTCCAGTTTAACCTCCGACATCCAGGTCCCCTCTCTTCCTGACTTTCCACAGGGAACCCGAAGTTTATAAACGGAATAGTGGCTTGTTGCTTGCTGGAGAGTCGTCGGTTCCTTCACAGGCAGCCCAAGCTAAGGGCTGTATATATACTACAAATAGCAATAATATATTAAAAAAAAAAACAGAAAATTTGAAATAAAGTTTCCTTACCTTGAGATGAACTGATTTCCGTCCCTTGTGTGTGATTTGGGCTCGTTTGGAGTATAGCTGAGGGTTTTTGTTATCTCTGGGGAGGAACAGAGATCATGACTAATAATGGAAATCTTACATTCAAAGACTCGTTGATGTGTGATTGAAATTGACTCCATGAATTTTTTTCAACTATTGATTTTTTCAATTTTGTCACATAAATTGAGGATGTAGTTTTCACATAAATTGAAGATGAAGAAGCTGAATTGAAAAACATTTTGATGATTTATTAGACATAACAAGCACAAGTAATATCAAAGTCGTTTTTGACCATAAAAACGTCACATTAGCCTTTTTTGGGCCAATAATACTTTGAGTCCCCCCCCTATCTTGCCATCAATTTTATGTAATGCCCCCTCCCCTCCTGGTAATTATTGCACAGTGCCTTAGTGAATTTTGGGCTGGCACAGTTGACTCGACTCGCTTGTGCTTGTTTTATAACTAAGGTTAAGAGTTTGATATATTAATATAGTAATATATAGCAGAAGGGGGTGAGAGCTATTTTCTTGTGCTTAGGAGAGGGGGTTCTAACTAATTTTCTGCTTAAGAAATCCCCCCGGCCCCCTTCCTGGTAATTATTGCACACTCCATAAGGGATTGGGAGCAGTCCTCGTTCAAGAAAAGCGACCAATAGCATATGCCAGCAGCGCTTGAAAATGTGGCATCAATTCAAATACGGAAGATTTATAAAGGTCTACACTGATCACAAACCGCTAGTGAGCATCACCAATAAAACTCTTGACAAGGCTAGGCGCCACGACGACTGCAAGGGATGTTATTACGAAGTCTTAACTACAATATCAAAGTATGTTCCTGCCTCACAGCAAAACCTTTCCGACATGATGAGTCGGTCCTTCATGCCACTAAAACAGTCATGAGGTTGATTCATCGGCTGTTCAAGGAAAAAGGCGYCGAAATTCTGTTAAGGTAACTTCATTTGTGAAGAGCTTTTGTTTAGATGCAAAAAATTGTACAAAACTGTCACAAACAAATTTATTAAATGCTAATTTTTACATTTGTGATCTGTCACAATTTTTTAGATGAAGAACTCATTATAAAAATAGATTATTTTGTGTTCAATTTTTTCCTATTTTTTATACAGAAATATAGTCATTTACATCATATTCACCTATTCCTCAAATGCATTTTTATTCCGAGATGTTTTATTAATTTYCCCTACTATATACTCACAAAACATCAGAGGATATCGGCGYTATATAAATACCACATATTATTATATTATTAACAAACGTTTGAGAGTTTGAGTAAAGATCATCATTTGGATGAATTTCGTAAAATCAAGTCTTTTTTAGTGTCTAAGAGGACATTTCAGTGTATATTTCAGATAAGTAAAACTTTTTACAATTTATTATCGACTATCTTATGTTGGATAAATTAAGCAATTTTTCGATCTTTTAGGTCATAATTTCAGTTCTAGCGCCCTTGGCCTATAGTTCCATCTCTTTCCTCCGACGAAGGATCTTAATGTCCGAAACGTCAGTAATTAAGCTTATAAATTTATCTTTTTACACAACTGTACAAAACAGGATGCCCTTCCCCAGAATACCCCGGGAACTGCTGGATGGTTTTAGAGGTAAAGGTTTGTCTGGGCATAAAAGCTGTCTACTACATTTTTTTTAAAGGACTGTCATGTACAGTTGTAAACTTCTATCAAAGATAAAAAATATATATAAAATTAAAAAATATATCATGGAAAAACAAAACAATTATTAAAGTGCACCTTCACGATTTTTTTTTATTATCTAAAACAATTTTTATGAACCTTGTAAGACTTTCTGTGAAAGTTTGGTGATTATTTTGTAAACRGTTKGGACGAAATCGGAAAAATAAAGCCAAAATTAAGTGCGTCAAATTCTTTTGTCCGAGCGGGGACTGGCGCGACTCTTGTGACGTCATCCCAGGTCATAAGTTCGGTCGAGAAAGATAGAGAAAGATAGTAGATMTTACTATAATACTGTAATTATACTGAAACAAGTATTCGCCCAAGAAGTGATTATGGTGAACGTGTTCACCGATGATAATTAAATATTATGATCCTTAAGTTGATGTCACTAGCGTAGARATGGGGGGCACATCCCCGCCAAGATTTTGGCAAAATTAATGTATGAAGGAGCAAATTTCGACAAAAAATTCAATTCCCKTACGACTCTCTGGGTGATATGCATTGAAAATTTAGTCCTCTAGGATGAGTAATGTCGGTTCCACTCTACAAATTATATTATAATGAGCATTTTCTGACTTGCCATTTTTTCCAAAGAACGTCCATTTTCATTCATATCCTGACAATACATCTTTCCATGTTGAGTGACATATGTGCGAGACAATTTTGTTCAAAAGTTCTTTAATTATTTTCAGGTTGGTCCGACGTTTTTGKGAGCATTAGTTAGACCGTATATATTTTAAATATTTTTTGTTGTATAAAATCTCTTGAACGTAACTTCACCAAAAATTCTGACAAGAATTATTTTGGTAGGGGTGAATGAAGTTTTACTCTGTACGATATATTTTTCCATCCGTTTATTTATTCTTATAAATTTCGTATATCATGGCTTGATACTTAGTTGTAATAAATTCTTAAAATTGATCCAACAGTAAAAAATAATGTGTTAACTTGATGACTTTTACTACTAAGATGGTAAAACGTTTAATATTACCATAGCCATAGTGTAACTAATTTCCAAAAGTTGATTAATAATTCAGATGATTCTCTTTACGTAATACAAGAAGGGCATCCAAATGATTCAGTCTTTCATTTCAGTTTTGTCTTACGATGGGTTCTATCTACTGAGACTGCTTATAAAACCTCAAGGTACAGTATTCTGTTTCTTTTTTGCAAAGAACAAACATAGACGAAATGCCSAGAGTTCAGGGCTTTTTCCAAAAACAGTTTTTAGGATTTTATTATAAAGGAATGAGGGCATTTTCGAATCACAAGGCAGTGAGTTTTCATGATGCCGTCTTTTCGCTTAAAAATCAACGACTGAATCAGTCGCCAAGTAGCATGGGTCACACCATTCTTCATATCCTCAAGATTGCTACATTAAAAAYAATCAACTAAAATTGGATAGAACACCACTCAAATTATCCAAGAGAAAAAAATGACCGTTACACTTGCGATTTTTGCAGAGCGATTCTCGCRGCGATGGTCGCGCGACCATCGCCTGAGTTTCAAACGTGCTTGAAAATTGGCTGAACTTTTCGCGGCGATTTTCCATCGCCGCAACAATTGCAATGCTGTTTACACATACGATTTTAGTTGCACGATAGCAAAGTGGAGATTATCGAACGACACAATCGCACTGCAAAAATCCGCCAGTGTAAACGGGCAACTGATATTTCACGCTTTTCAGATATTTTAGTCTCCAGAATCGAGTCCAGCTAAAGCATCTCAGGAAGCATGCACCAGTTTCACTTACAAATCTAGCGAGCTGATTGTCTACAAAATTATCACCTTTATTGGGTAAAATGACATCAGCCGTTTGTCATTTTAACACAACTCAAAATGATTAACCAAAATCTTGCAATTTTGGGTTGTTTTGTCGTGTGAATATATTATTTGCTAGGGTAGCTATAAACCTATGAGTTTCCGAAGGTGAACTTTGTAATTAGAAATTAATAAGAAGTCGATCTTTGTAATTAGAATTAATAAGAAGTCAGAAATGATATGCTCTMAATGGCAATTACTGGACGTCCTTCACATCTATGCATGATATTGACACTTTTTTTGACAAATTGGACTACGTTTTTGAACAACGCTAGGTCTGTATCACAAAGGACTTCTAAAAAGCCTCCGAACCGCCTCAAAACGTTGTTAACCCATATATTATCATGATCASCTCGGATTCCATTGTCTTCCGAGGGGTAAAGAAAAACCGAATTTTCCTCATGAATAACATGAGGGAAATTTAGAAGACTTTAGTAAGAGACAAAAATAAATTTCCCGTACATGAAAGACCGGAGGGAAATTTAGTAAAGGACAAAAGAATCCTTTGTCTTCTAAATTCCCCTCATGTTATTCATGAGGAAAATTGGGGTTCCTTTTGTCTTCTATACTTCCCTAATACCCCTTAAAAGAAATTATACTAAACACACCCTACAYCATCTGACACTAGCATGTCTTCGGCATGTGGGACAGTTTTTACTTAACTGCGCATGTCTGTACACCTAGTTTAAAAATCGAAAATGCCTATGACAGATTTATGCGCAGTCGACACATAAAAAATATTACAAATTTGTCGTTTTGCACTCCTGCGTTTAAATCAAACATATCCGTAGACGGAGAACTGTTAGTCTCCTCTCGCAGCCGTTAGGACGTTCGTTCCCAGGTCACTCCCCCTTAAAAATATGGAATACTAATAG